GAAATTCACATTCATTTCTTATGGCTAAAATTCATAAGTGTTTCTTATGGAATTCTTACGTTCTTTTTCCTGCGTGCATGGTTCGAATCCCACAAGCAGGATTCTGCTGCAGGAAAATGAGCATAACAAAACCAAAATTCAAACATTATTAAAACTCAAAAATGCAGGAAAAAAAAAACATTCATAATTCACTTATGCGTTGCATGTAAGACATCTCACTTTTCATTATTTGGACATAAGCCATTCATGCGCCACATGTTTGAATTTCATAATGCGCATTTTGAAAGTTGGAAGAGTGTTTATTTGAAAAAAATCGTAAGGAACATTATAATATTCAGACCCAAAATTCAAGATGAAAGTAATTATTGAAATTGAAGACGGTACCGGACTAATACAAGTCGAAGCTATGTAATATTTGTAGCGGGAATTATCTGAAAAGTCACCATTAATAAGGCAGAAGTCAACAGACTCATGAGTGTGGTAATTATTCCGCTCAAAAAGCTAGAGCATTAAGGGTTGATCATAAATTTACCTTCTGGACCGATTCATTTTGAGAAACAGGCAGAACTACGAGTAAGCCGTTCTTATTGCAAAACATTCTTTAACCGGGACCTTGCATCAGTCGGCATTTAACAAATTGCGGTCTTTTCATGTAATTGAGAATCCTACTGTGGATCCAATGCATGATTTATTCAGCAATGGAACTTGTAAATACGATTTTTTAGCATCTCTCACTCATCACTGATTCACTAAATTTTGAAATTTTTCATTTAATTTTTCATTCGCTTGGTATCAAAATTCATAATGTAGGTAATTAAAAGAGTATGTTTCAATTTAAAAAATTCCTAATGCGTCATTATGAACTAAGGGCCCATGCATTAATTATGTCACGCTAAATCGAGCAAAAAATAACCCCCTCCCCCCCCCCTATCGTGACGTTTTTCCTATACCTAATGCATTGCTTGACACAAAATCTTAGACCCCCCACCCCCCCTTAGAGCGTGACATAATATATGCATCAACTCTAAGTTATGCATTATTATGATGTCATTACCAAATCCTTAAGAAATTCCTACGAATTGATTTGCCCAATAAATTTGATTTCATAATGTAACGTATTGAACATCATGAGAATTGCTTGTGGCTAAATTTCAAAAGGTGTTTTAATGAATATCTTATGTGCATTTACCTGCGTGCATTAGACTGATGCAAATTTTGACATTTTCGCTCCACAGTGCTCAAACGGTTCCAAATCGGGTCCTCATTAGTCTCTCAAAATTTGAACTCATTTGAAAAGAAACTGACTTGGCACAAACCATTTGAAGTTTATATGGAAATTACTATGGGAAATCCAAACTTTTTGTTCATTGTCTTCTTACCTTTTTCCATATGGCACTGTTCAAAACTTCAAAAGCAATACTTATGGAAAATTTTCTCAGCTTCAACTTAGCAGAATGTAGGGTTACGGTATGTAATGTGGGTCTAGTCCTTTCATTCGGCCTATCACGCAAATAAATAATTAATTAAGGAATATTACACAAAAAATAAGGAAAATATTGATCACTGATGATTGATAAATGTGTACCACACACAAATCAATTTATATCACAACATTTCAATACATTTTCAGCTCTCGTAAGTAATAAAACTGGTTGAGAATATCACTCTGTTCGGAGTTTTTAGCCGCCATGACTTCTAAGGTTAAGATGGGAAGGTTGCACTGACGATCATCAAATGGCCTGATTATGGCATTTATTGAATGGAATTACCTGATAATACACACTAGACGTAAAACTCACAGTTACTGTTTGAATATTTTATGTTTATTTTAATTGTTTAACAACGTTTTCACAAGTAAATCATGGACCCAACTTTAGGGACACATTTCTTTTCTATGTTCCTAACTTTGGCCCATGAAATTCATTTGACAGCATATAGCAATAAGAGTAACGTCAACAATGTGGTTTGCATTTGGATGATAAGGAACGAACAGGAAGGGAGATTTTTTCTGCCAAATCTGTATAATGAACATCACAATGTTTTGATTTAGATATTCTGCGGTCGAAAGACGATAAGCGAAATTTTTAATTTTTAATTTTTAACTTGAGTGATTTAATGTAGTTTTCGTAAAATTTTCTCTAAGAAATGTTTTGAGGAATGAAGAGTATTAAGTTAACAGTGATAGTGATAAAAAAAAATACATAAGAAAACGTTACCAAGAGCGTTTTTTTTGAGAATCAAACAGGATAGGACGAAGTTGCATCCATAAATAGACCCAATTTGGGGACAATAGACCGATATTACATACATTTCCCTGGTGAGTTTTTGTCTTAAAAAAAGTAAGTTTTTCAACTTTTTGCGGTTCCTGATAGCAAACGACATGATAAGCATATCTAAGCATACCATTTAGCAGTAGAATATCGTTTGCAGGTAAATTAATTGATGAGTTATGATTAAAAACGTAATCTATGGCTGCATATTAGACCGAGGTTAGGGACGTATACCCTAGTTGTTGAGCCAAACGTCAAATAAAATAGTTATTAATTGTTTAAGAGATGGATAATCTTATGGCATGATCGAGCAGCTGTTTTGTGAGCAACACTGTATCTTGCAGTGTGACATAGTAGCCATGATTTTTGTGCTCTATTCCAAGCGCCAGAAACACCAATGTTGCCTGCTGAACAGTTGATTGAGCATAATCGTAAGACATTAGTGGCTTGAATTATTGATAACTTTTGATGCTAACATTATATTGAAAAGTGGTTCAGGACTAAGTTGTAGCTGAGAAAATTTGCTACGAGCTCAGTTATCATTTTTTAAAGCAGAACTATATGGTAAATTGTTAGATGGATATGAACAAAACATTTGTTTTTCCCATAGTAATTTCCATATAAACTTCAAATGGTTTGTGCGAAGTCAGTTTCTTTTCAAATGAGTTCAAATTTTGGGAGACTAATCAGGACCCGATTTGGAACCGTTTGAGCACTGTGGAGCGAAAATGTCAAAATTTGCATCAGTCTAGCGTGCATGCAACGACATGTCTAGATAGAGCTGGAATTAGGGCCTAACAGCTTTTGTAAACAATGACTTCTCTTAATGATTTCTTGGAATTCAAGGCTCGCCCACACAAACCAACATCCTCAACGGGTACGGAAAGACTTTCCCTATCCGATGGTTATGTTGGTCTGCGTGGGCGTGCCTTGAATTCCTAGAAATCATCGATAGAAGTAATTGTTTACAAAAGTTGTTACGCCCTAATTCCAGCTCTATCTAGATGTATCCCAAGTAATAAAATATATGCATAGAATTATGTTGAATAAACTTCGTTACAACCAAGACCAGTCATACAAAGGTAATACAAACTGTTATAGAACCTAGGGCACGCAATAACCTTTAACTCCAACGTAGGCAACGGATGTAATTAAATTAATTCCATTACCTACTGCTTTAATTACATTAATTACACAATGTAGAGCAATAACTACATTTTAACATCATTAATTACAGTTGAAATTTCGTAATTAAAGTACATTAATTACATTTTCAATACTTTTAATTACATTAATTACGGATAGATAATTTTAATTACCTTCAGTACTACTTCAAAACGCATTAATTAAGTACTTTTGATTGCATTTTAACTTCAACGGTCGGTTCTTTGTATTGCGTGCCCCTCGTATAGAACTGGTGTGTTGCTTGGAATGTATGTTATAAATTTTCCAATATCTGTGTGGTGCGTGTAAGAAAAATGAAAACAATATCTAAAGAAATAATCAAAGCTGTTCTTATTTTCGGGTATATTTGCCCGCAGAATTATCTAGCCCCCACTCCAGATAAATTTTCTAGCTACGCCAATGAAGAAGTCGTTTATTCAATAGGCGATTGTTTGTTGGGCTTTTCCTTCTTGGCATTGAGCTGGGAATGTAAAATGGAATTTTGCTTAGTTGATGGATCATTCTCATCATCCGTGAGCATATCAAATTGAATACTCAAATAAATTTCATCAGAAGGGTGATCAAGAGATTGCCTTTTTCTTTTGCGAAGTTAAAAAAATGTTTAAATTGGTTGTAGCTTTAGGTAGCAGTAACACTTCCTTCAGCAAAAAGCAATGCGGACTGACTTCAATCTACTTTATATTAGGTTTCTACACAAACAACATTTCACTGACTACCCCAACTAATTTGACTAAATATGGTTCCCTTCCATTTTCAGGAAACCTGGACCGATACCCATCAGGAGCGCTTGGATCTACAACGGGCTCGTGTTCTGGAGGTGAATCGTCACCTTATGACGCTGGCCGAGAGCTGGGAACGTGGAGGGTTCCCTATGCACATGAACCTAGCTCTTCGTCCACCGGGTACTATGTCCTTCCATCGTCCACCGCAACACCAACAACAACAACAACAACAACAGCAGCAACAGCGTGCACAAGCTCAAACCCAACCTTCCGCAAATCCACCCGGAAGTGGTCAACAGACAGAAATGGTCAACCGACTGAAGCAGCAGAACGTGCAACTTTCCGAGGAGGTTAACCAGAAGAACGAAAAGCTGTCACTGCTAGAACGGGAAAAATCTTCCCTGATACGAGAGCTGCTGCAGCTGCAGCGAGCCAACCGAGCCAGCAGTATGACTTCCAACACCGAGGAAATGGTGTTTTAAGGTGTCATGTGTTAAGGTAGATAGGGAAATTTGGCCATGTTTCGATGGAGATTGCCATCACAGATTTCGTGCTTTTCCGAGTTACAATCGCGCTAGTCAGTTTAGCAGATTCACAAATAAAACCCGAAAGTATCTTAATGTGTAGTGTAATCATAGGTGGAGTTAGGCGGAAGTCTTTCATTGTGATTTAAGGTGTTATTTTGTCGAAATTTTTTTAACCGATTGAAAATTGTTTTGAAAATAAAGATTATTTTTGTATGACATTGTTCAGAGTGGTTTGGGATGATAATATCACCAAATGGATTATTAACACAATGATTTGGAAACACATACACACACATTTATTGCATATAAAAAATAAAATAAACCATCAAAATTTGAATTGATTTAATATGGCCAGTCATCTATTTACTCTTTGCTACTTCCTTCTGAATCAGATCCCAGTTGACTCCATTGTGGGGCAATTTGCTCTCCAAAAATGGCGAAAGCCACACAAGATGCCACCGTTCGCCCAGTACCATTATCAGATTGTTCAACCGGCCGTGGTCGTATTCGTGGGAGTTCCTCTCATGTACCACGCTTCCACTGAGAATCAAACGACCGTGGTACACTAGGAGCACCCCCGTGAACAACATTCCAATCATGTTGATTAGATAAATGACTAGATAATACTGCGTCGTTGAGATATCGATTAAAAGCATCGCCAGTGGAAAAACGATCTTCACCAGCGACGTCCAATTGCGAAACTCTTCACCGTGAACGAACCAGATGAAGTAGTTGTTAAGTATACTTGCATAAAACGTCGCTATAAATAGATGAAGTACAAACATGATGAAATAGCGGTGATTTCGATGGCCAATGCAGCATCCGGTAAACACGCAATGGTGATCTCGCTTAAGAACACAGGTCTCGCAGATGTTACAGTGCCACGATCGGGGTGGTGCCACTGCTTCGCACGTTGCACACAAATGCCACGAACCCGACCCCAGCCCGGAGGAAACCGCTACATTCGTTGGCACACTGATGATTTCCGTACCACAGCTGGTATCGCACATGATCGTTGCCAGCATATTGGCACTGATGTTGTACAGCAGAAACAGCGCTGGGACAAAGTGAATCCAGTTTAACACAGAATCCACCCCGTGAACACCCGGCATCACCACGTACACCTCGAACCAAAAAGTGACTGGTATGATGCCAGCCATGAATATCGTCGCCACTGCATCCTGCACGCAACGGGGCAGAAAGCGTTTTCGAATCTGCATCCTATTTGGGTATTACAATAACAGTTTAAATTAATTTATTAAATTTAAGATTAAATCGACTGATATGACATACCTTCCCAGATTGCTGCTGTTCACATGACTACAAAACAAGACAACAGATACGCAGGGGAAGCATAAATATGACATTATGCTTATGCTGTGTATCGTCTGGTGACACCTACCTGTGAGAGAATGCAAACTGAATCGAATGTCGAGCTAATGTCGACCATCGGTAGAGCGATTTTTGTTTGAATTGATGGTTAACCTATAAAATATCAAAATGGCTAAAGTCGTTCAGTTTTGGTCGTACAAAATGATCTGATCAGTATATAGTTCATTTAATACTTATACTTTTGGATTCTTTGTCTCCATGGACACTTTCAAATATAAATAAGTCGTTGAACAAGAACATTTGGTCCATTTTTTTAAACTTTTTGCTAGTACGCTTTTTTGGGGGGCCTCCCTTAGCTCAGTCGGTAAGCGCAGCTACAAAGCAAGACCATGCTCGAGGTGGCTGGGTTCGATTCCCGGTCCGGTCTAGGAATTTTTCGGAATGGAAAATTTCTCGACTTCCCTGGGCATACAAGTATGATTGGACTTGCCACACATTTATACCAATGCAAAAATGGTACAAGCATCGAAAGCTCTCAATTAATAACTGTGGAAGTGCATCTAGAACACTAAGTTGAGAGCACGCAATACGCTTATATGCGATATGCAATAAGCTTGAAATGCGAAGAAGAAGAAGCTAGTACGCTTTTATAAAAGCATGCATGCATGATTGACCGCCCACGGTTGCTGCTCTGTTATTACACAGAGAAACCAACAGATGATGTTTGGGACTAACATTCATCCTCAATGTGTAAGAACTGGTGATCTAATATTTTAGCAATACCAGCGCCGGCCGTGTCCGATTGCAGGTCAACTACGGAATGGGAAGGAATGTGTTGACGTGGTACTCGCTGTGAAGGAAACCGAGAAATCCTCTGCGCTTCCACGAGAAATCACTGGGATGTTGGATGTGGGGAAAGGTTGCACACGCACACGTAGGGATCGTTTTTGGTAGAGCAATTATAATACACAAACACACACACACGCGCGCACACTCATCAAATTTCTATTTTTAGATCAGGACCCACACTGTGGTAAGTGATGCGATCGGTGTTAAAGAAGAATTTGTTTTCATTAAAATCTAGTGGGTATAGAATAAGGCAAAGTGAAAAATTGCATGGAAGGGGACGGGCCTGGGATTGATGATGATGATGATGGTCCCACCTCTTAGGGGCTGTTCATAAACTACGTAGACAGTTTAGGGGGGGGGGGGGGGTTGACAATTTTCCACGGCCCATACAAATTTTAAAAATTTTGTATGGACAATTGTCTACGCAGGGGGAGGGGGGGTCAAGAATCCCAAAAAACTGTCTACGTAGTTTATGAACAGCCCCTTACCCCTACAAAGGTTTGAGCTGGACGAGTTATCTTTAAGATAATTAAATATAAACATTTTAACCAGGTTTGCAAACAAAATCGAGCTGGTTACAATTACAGTTATAAATGTCCTGTTAAATATGCTATAGGCATCAACCAAAAACATTCAAAGGTGTAACTAGTTATCAAAAGTCCAAGTATAGTCCTCGACAATACTTCCATTTACACGTGACCTGGGATTTACACGTTTAAGCTTCCGCAGTGCCAGGACTATATCCAAGGAAACGACTTCCAGCCAACCCTTTACTAATTCAAGGCTTTTGCCACAATTTCCACGTATTAGTCATTTATACCTGTATTCCGCGCGCGAGGCTCAAACCATCGTAGACTACTCAAAGCTATTTTTACTATTACTACTACAAAATCAAAAAACTAAAAATCCATCATCACCATCGAGACAAACAATGTAGTTTTTTTGTATATGCTACACCAATTACTAAAATGTCTATATGACAGTCTCCATACAAAATAATCCGTTAGAGATAACTTTGTCAAGATACATGATTTATCCATTCATAAAAATTTAACTGCTCAATAAACAGCTTTTACATGTGAAATGCAGCGTCTCTTGAATTCTGTAAGTGTAGTTGCACGCTTGATGTGTCTAGGCATCGAATTGAAAACATTTATACCTTTGAAAAATAATGAATTTTGTGAAGCATTATTCAAAAGATGTGGTGTTCTTACTTCATCCGCGTTTCTAGTGTTATATCTATGAAAATCACTTCCTCTTTCAATCCGATCACACAAATATCGAGGCAGCAAACCGTTAACTACTTTAAAAATGAACACCATAGTCAAAAACACAATTCTTTGCTTCACTGACAGCCATTGCAAAGCGTCCAGCATAAAAGTTGAGGAAGTGAATCTATTACATCTTAAAATCAAACGCATTACTTTATTCTGCAAACGCTGTAATCTCGATATTTGTGTTTCATTGGCCAAAAATAAAATGGAAGGGCAAAAGTCTAGATGAGGGGAGATGATTGATTTGTATAACTGTATTTTACTACCAATAGTTAAATCGTTTTTCAAGCGACATAGGATTCCATACTTCTTGGCAATTTTCTTGATGACATTGTCAATATGAGAATTGAACTTGAGTTTGTCATCAATAATCACGCCAAGATATTTAATTTCCTAAACGCGATCAAGTGTCTCATCATCAATAACAACAGAGACATCATCATCTACACGATTCCGCGAAATTACCATGAATTTAGTTTTACTTATATTCAATTTCAATTGTTTATACTTCAACCATCTACTTAGAGAACGCAAATCTTCATTCAAGCGTGAAACGGCTTCTTCTAAATCTTTAGCTGCAATGAATAACACAGTATCGTCAGCAAAAAGATTAATATCACAAAACCGTAAAACTCGTCGCATGTCATTAATATACATAATAAATAAAAGGGGCCCTAATACACTTCCCTGAGGCACTCCAAGGTCATTGTCAACGGGACAAGATACAAAATCATTAAAAACAGTCCTTTGTGTTCTGTCAGATAAATAGCTTTCAAACCATTTGTATGCAGAACCCGAAATTCCAAAGCGCTTGATTGTTCTCAACAATAAGGGCCTAGAAATTGTCTCAAAAGCGCGTTTTAGATCCAAAAACACAGCAACAATCGTATCTTTATGCTCCAAATTTTCTTTCCATTTAGCTAACACTAAGTTTAACGCGGTTTCACAAGAATGGCCTTCCCGGTATCCCGATTGTTCCGGTATCAACAAACAGTTACTATTTAAATATTCTAACAGCTGGCCTTTTACAACAAGTTCCAAAATTTTCTCTAATGTGTGCAACATGTTGATGGGACGAAACTCTTCGGCTTTAATCGTCCCAGCAACTTTTTGTATAGGAACAACTAAAGATTCTTTCCAAATATGCGGCACGTGCCCAGATTGCAATGATTGATTAATAAGGTCCCGCAGAACTCCTGACCTTCTGCTCAGTAAGCAGAAACGGTAACCACTGAGCTACCGAGCCTCGTCAAAGAAGCTAGTACGCTTTATATGCCCATAACACACAGTTCTGGAGTCCTTTTTGACTGGGTCGAATCGAAGACAACAAATCAAACCGACTGGCAACTCTTCCATTTTCTCATTCGAACGCTATGAGACAGGTACAATCGCGTCATCTGCTGATGATATGATGTCTTTGGTCGAATGTAACAAATATCGTGTAAACCGAAATTTGGTAAGCTCACAACAAATTTTCCAAGTTTAAGAATTTGGATAATTTTTTGAAGGCTAGGATCCCGGCAGTATTTCGAAGCCTAAAATTAAAAAAAACATTTAATGGGTTGCAGAATCATAATACTTGAGACATTATTTCAGTATTATGGACTTAGAAAAATCTTCAAGGTTGTTTTTTTTTTTTATTTCTAGTCATTCATAATTTGTTTTTCAGAATCCTGGATTTGGAAAAAAAACAACATGGAGAAATTTTTAAAATTATGAAACTTAGTGAAATCAAAAACAAATCAGAGCTAAAACAAAAAAATGAGCTTTGAAAAATTAGCAAGGCTTTAGAAAACCTACACAGCAAAAAAAAATGTAATGTCGATCAACGTAATTCAAGCTGATGTATGAAATAATGATGTAATAGCAAAAAGCAGGTACAATATTACATCAATGGATGTAATTTTGTTCGCAAAATCGATGTACATCGTACAATGTGATATTACACAACCGATGGATTGACCTGGTTGCAGCAGTTTGGATGTAATATTCAACATCTTTTTTTGCTGTGTAGAGCCTGGAACTTTCCCAAGTAACACATAAAACATCTTTTTGAAAAATAATTAGAACGGCTTGTTATATAAATGTATTATAAGTGATGCTGAAAACATCCCACGTTATATATGAGGTTTATAGATGTTTTCTTCATACTTTCTAGAGTCAACATTTTCCAAAATAGTTTTCTTTTGCTTTTATCTCTAAATGTTATTTAAACGAGCATCTTACTGTTTTAATACCACTATTAAACTTGTCGTTTATAAAATCAATCTTAGTTGAATTTATAAAGTTCTTGAAGAGATTCTGAACTTTCCAGATTGACGTAAACATTGACGGCGCCATTGAGGCGGACTGTCTCTTCACACAGTGATTGACAGTTTCTTATGAGGTATTCGGTGGTTTATTATAAAGAAAGTTGAAAACACTTGTTTATGACATCTCAGAAATTAATACAACTGAAAATATATGCAGATTGTCTTATAAGGAGTGGAAAATACTTTAAAATAACACTCTGGCAATAAGATGTACGCTTTGCTGCTAACAAAACATCTTTATGACGGATCGAAGGCGTGTTGAACGAGAATTTAATTTTCTTGCCACTGTCAAGAAGATGATAGATCTTATAAAAAACCTCTCATCAAGCAATGGGTGTTGTTTGAACATAAATAGAAGCACCCTACCACCAAACATGTTCCACACGAAATCGTACTTCACCTACTCTCACACACAGCTCTCACGATCCTCTCTTATCAGCTAATCTCCTTTCCACGAGTAGATTGTAGGTACGAGTGAACAGCTGATAAGGGCAATAAATTAGTTATCCACCAATCGCGCGCGTATACAGATGTTTTTTATCATTATTCC